TGCTAGCACCTCTCACTAAAGGTGACACTGAGCCAAGATACTGAAACTGAAGCCAAAGGCCACATTCATAGATTACAGAGAAACAGACATTATCAGAGCTCCTTAGAAGGAACAAGTACATAAGTGTCAAGGAAACAGAGGTGTTTTCTGTCCCAATATTTTGGGGATCTTTAATAAAGTTATGTTCACTGATATTACAGAAGATGATAAAGGCAACAAAAAGTAATTTTAAGTTTCAAAAATATTTCTTAAGAGGAACTACAGCATAGAGAATATGATCAGTAATATTGTAATATCTTGGTATGGTAACAGGTGGTAACTACACTTACTATGGTGAGCATTTACTAATGAATATAATTATCAGATCACCATGCTGTACATCAGAAACCAATAAAATATTGTTAATAAACTACATTCTAATAAAAAAATAAAATATTTCTAAAAATTGACACTTTTATAAGTCCACATTCCCTTTTCCACAATTCTAAAATCTTTAAGTCTCTGAAAACAGAAATTTTTTCCCCATAACTTTGCTGCCAAAACTAATTTCCCAGCAAAATTTAACCTATTGACATGACACTATTTATAACTCTTATTCAATTGGTGTGAATGTGTGATTAATGTGTTTGATTACAGGGTACTCTCCCATATTATGTAATTGACAGTACATATGCTATATTATCTTTCCATAATAAAAAAATCTGGATTCTGAAATATATTTGTATCCAAGGCTGCCAGATGAAAGATTGTAACCCAGATTTCCTCTTCTCTTAAAGATGATTTTACTATTAAGTATTTAGGAAAAGGCAAACATGCACACAAATATGCACACACCAATTAAGCTACCATTTCATTGTGGGTGTAAAACATTGTGCACTTTCCATAATTTATCTCTAATTCTCACCTGAAAAGTAGGTGTTACTATCCCCGGTTTGTAAATAAGGAAACTAAAGCCAAAAAGGCTTAACTCTTTTGCCCAACTACTAACAAAAGCTAGAAAACATTATTCTCATTTCTAAGGCTTTTTAAAATGTCAAGATTCTGTCTATAGATATTTCAGAAAACATAAAGTTGCCTTTTAAAAAGACTCATTTATGGCACAGAGAAAGTGATCGGGGCACAGGCCATTTTAATAGACTGCATCATTCTAAAATTTCTGGTCTGTATGCCCCACCACAAAAGTATTAAACTTGGCAATATAGGAAAACAAATTATTTTACCAGGTAATGTAAACAAAAGCTTTTTTATGATAGTTGGAAAGGAGGGAGAAGAATCTGAGAAAATGAAACAGATGCAATCTAGCCTGAGAATAATACTCCTACACTTAGTTAACTCTAAAGTTTCTCTTTTATTATAGTCAAAATGTTGGAGAATGAGAAGAACTTTGGCATTACTATCCTCATTTTAAGAACAATATTTAAAAGAAGAAACTTCTTTTTCAAATCTGATCCTCTTACAGAGCTATCCAGATGCTTTAAAAAAAAAAAGTTTCATTAGTGCCCCTTCACTCCTTCAAGAAATTCCTCAAATTCCACCTCATATAGACATGTTCCATGACACATAGCTCAGATAACAATTCCACATTCTCCAAAACTTGGTGTTTGCTTTCTTCTGATAACAAATACAGCAAACCAATGAAGAAAAATGAACACAAAAATCTTATGTTAATCAATATGTTTAAAGCTTTCTTTTATATGTGAAGTATAGGTAATACATTTGAATTTTTTATATTCAAGCTTTAGGAGAAGTAAGGAAATACCATTTATTAGGCTCTTTAGATGTGTTTTCTCTAGTATTCACAACTATCCTACAAATATCCCCATTTTATACATGAAGAAACTAAAGATCAGAAAATTTGAATCCAAGAAACAGGAGTTAAACAAGGCTCTGAGCCAGTTCCTTCCACTTCACCTTGCTAACATATGCTTAGCTTAGAATAATATTTTCTAGGGTAGGGTAGGAATTTTCATCATGGCTATTATTCCTTAAGCATGCAGTATGCTGCAATACAAACAGAATGGTGAATAATGAATCTGTTGAAATAGCCAAAAATCTACATCTTACACTAATTATTTACAGATCTTGAGCAAGTTGCTTAAGTTCTCTGTGCCAAAACTTCTTCACACATTAAACAGAGATAATACCTTACAGAATAGTTATGATACTGAAGTGGATTAAAACATATAAAGCACTTGGTACAATGTCTAGCACATAATAAACACTTCATAAATTGCTATTGAGATGAGAAATCCCCAAACGGGTATATTTTGTACCAGATGACTCCAGTGAGCAAGAGCTGGACACTTAATCCAAAGGCAGCCAGTCAATCCTGCACTGGCTCGTGATCTATGACATGATCTAGAGGGAAAAGATGATGTGTGTCAAAAAGTTTCTCTCTCGGGGATTTGAATTAAGAAACACAGATGAGCCAATTCACAGTGATTGAGAAGTTAAATGGTTTAGCTCCTGCCTTCATCCATTTTCTTTCATCGAGGTTACCAATGGTGCTAAATCTGTTGCTAACTCTAGTTTTTCAGTCCTCCCTTTTATATCTCTAGGCAGTATTTAATCTATTGAATATGCCATTTATCTTGAAACATTCTTTTGGTTGTCCTCTTATCTCTCTGGTTGTACCTTCTCAGGCTTTCTAAAATATTGCAGCTACTTAACATTTAATCCTAAGCCTTTTTCTCCCCATACTTTACTCTCCCTCCGAGCCATTTCATCCACACTTATGACTTCTGTAATTATCTCTATGCTAGCTCAGACTTTTCTTGTAAATTCAACTGTCATGTCAAACTCTCCACTTACCTGAATGTCTCAAAGATACCTCAGACTCCATATGTCCAAAATCAAATTAATGATCTTCCTTCTCAAACTTAGCCAAGATCTTTTCTAGTGCTCCCTAGCCCCCTAACGGTACCACCAGCTATCCAGCTGCACAAATTAGAAAAATAGAAATATGCCTTGATAGCTCCTTTTCCTTCATCCCTATCTTTCACTAAGTTCTATTAACTTTATCTCTTAAATATTTCTTGATTCCTTCTCCATCTCCACTGCCACCTAACAAGTCTTCCTATATCCACTCCTGTAACTTCTGTAGTCTCCACACTGTTGCCAGAGCTATTTTTTTAATGATTCTAATCATGTCATACTCTCCCTTAAAAGCTAGCAATGGCTTTCTATTATTACGATTTTTGATCAAAATTAGTATGAGCCTAAAAGGCCCTGCAAGACGTGCCTCAGCTTATCCCTTTTCTCCTCCTATTGCCCTACATGCCATCACACAGGTCTCCTTTCAGTTCCTTTAACACAGTACATCATGTTTCCTCCTATGGTAGGGTCTTTGCACATGGTTTCTCTCTGCCTGGCCACTCTTGCACCTTCTCTTCATTTATTCAATCCTTATTATATCTCAGCTAAAACATCACTTACTCGGAGAAAGTTTCTTGGACCTCTAGACATTATCAGGTCATATAGTTATTCATTTAATAAATATATATTAATAACCAACTGTACACCAGGTATGGTTCTAAACATGTGGGATTGATAAAACAACAAAGACTTTTACCTTCATGGAGCCTACATTCTAGTGGATGGAGACAGGCAATAAGCAATAAAAATAATAAGTAGACTAAATAATAAGTGTGAAGGCAGTAAATCTTTGGGAAAAGAAAAAGAACAAGGTAAGAGAATCACAAGCAGAGAGTTTCCAGTGCCTTACATGGTGTCCAGCATATAACTGTCACTCAATAAATACCTGTTGAGTGGACAAACAAATGAAGGAATGAGTATGCTCAAGTTATGAGGGCACTTAAACTATAAAATGAGTAGAGGAACTACTTGGTGAAAGAAAGAGAGATGCCATGAAAAAGAAACCATGCAGGTCTTGAGAGGTGATGGTCTCTTGAATATTCTTGATGGTGGCATAAAGTTTTCAGTTCCAGTCACTGTATGAGGTTACCATAATCAACATCTCCCTCTCCAACCTCCAAGGGCTGGATAATCCAAGTTGGTCACTTTTATAACCTAATACCTAATCGGGACACATACACAAAACTATGTGTACCACTTTCATCACCTAGCCCCTATAGGGACAAACTCCCTTCCACATACACAGGACTGTGAAAATCCTTGCTCTCTGCTATGACCCTGCAGGACAATTAGGTCACTGTCTCTCCAAGCCCAGCCATCCCCTGCAGGAAAAAGATCGTGGGTCTCCCTTTCTGTCAGTCTCCGTAAACACTACCTTCCACCCACAGATATGTGGACATGGATTCCTTTATGATTCTGAATGACCTTCAAGATAGCTGGTGCCATAGACACCCACACTCAAGTTCCAGCCTTCTTTGGAAGGGTTCTGAAGAACTGGGGCTCTGGGTGTCCCCTCAAGCCTCCTGTCCCTTTAGAGTCCTATAGGAGGGTTTGGATACTCTGTAGCCCGGGGTGACCCTAGGGCACTACATTTTCCCAAAACACAAATACTCGGTGTATTACAAATATTCGGTGTCCTTCCATGGCACTGCTTGATATTAAAGTAACACTCCTCCCACACACACCTGCCTCCTCAGAATGAGACCCTATCTCCCAAACCATGTCCCTTCAGGGAACCCTCCTACATTTCTCCTATATCCCCAAAGGACTGACTGTACACACCCTCGCCATGACGCAGCCTACCCCTAGGATCAGCCCCCTTTACAAGTGCCCCTCAGGACTGGAGTTCTGTGTCTTCCCTGGGGTCCCAACCGTTTCCGGGCCCAAGCTCACTCAGGAGTGTGCAGACTCCCCAAAACACTCTCGCGCCCCCGGGACTCGGAGGTCTCCGCCCGCCACTCAGAGGGTCACGCACCCCCCTTCACCCTTGACCCCGAGGTCACAACCGCGCCGTGCATATCAGGGCGCCTCCTCAGAAGTAGGGACATGCCCCAGTCCCCAGTCTCCTCTGGCTCAAGACAGCCCTGCTGCCTCTTCGCTTCCCCTGTTCCTCCGCCCCCACAGACCTGCCTCAGGCGCCGTCTGGCTCCGCTCCGCCATTTTTTGTTGTCCCTCCGCCTCTGAGCCCACGCGAAAACCGCGGGGCCGTGGGGAGCCGGCGCTGGGATCAGGCGGCTTACAAGAGCTGGCTCAGGAAGACGCGGCGCGACGGTTGCCAGGGCAACGGGCGGCCGGCGTGCTGGCGGCAGGCGCGTGGCTGGGGGCCGGCGGACAGGCTGGGAGGGAGCGTGCGTCCTAGGCCCCGCCCCCGCGGCTAGAGGTCGCTCTGGGGCCAGGTGCTCGCAGCGCCGGGACTCGCCGCGCTTCTCCCCTGCAGCCGAGCCACCGCGTCCTGGTAACTGAGCATGCTTGGCAGCCTTTGGGGCGCCGAGACCAGGTCTGCTGGGATGGCACTTTGTGCCGCAGATGAGGGTCCTCGTGCTGACCACAAAGCTGGGTGGGCTGGCTTTTCTGTAGTTGGTGCTCAACTTTGGGGGCTTGAGGCAGGTTTCTTGATTTCCTAACACTTCTCCCCACAGTGTGTCTAGCCATAGTCGAGGTACTGGGTAACTTATGTCTTCTGCTGAAATGCACTGAGAATCGATTATTGTGTCCCCCTAAACATGCAGAAGCCCAACGGAGTTAGGGTCCTAGTCCTTGTACAACTGTACCTGCCCCCAACTCTAGAAACGGCTTCTCTTTTGCTGGTGTATTTCTCAGTAGATAGGATGACCTTTCCCATCTCTCCAAGGTGAATCACCACCATCCTCTGAGACCAAGCTAGAACATTACCCTTTCGTGAGCTGCTCTGTCCTCCCACAGTCCCCGTGCATCCCTATCCTAACACTTAACAATGCTTTATGTATTATCTACTTCTATGTTCCTCACTTGGTGGTAAGCTCCCTGATGCCTAGGTGGTCTCTTCATCTTTGTGTTCTCTATAATACAGCAGAGTGCCTGACACAAAGTAAATGCTCAGTAAATATCTGTGTGATGAAAAATGATCCTAAGTTCACTCCTGCACATTCCCACCAGTTTTACTGAGCTCTTAATTTTCTAACAAGTACCTTGCTAGGTAGAACCCTTCTCATCAAGGGGCTCACAGAGAAAGGGAAAAAAGATGGCTTTGGTAGAGGTTAACTAGTGGTCAAAGTGCTATAAGATCATAGAGATAGAACTCCAAACTGGGATAGGGGGAGGGCAGGTAACCAGTGAGGACTTCAAAGAGGAGTAGATAATACCCTAGCTGAGTCTTGAAAAATGAATAGATGTCAGGCAAGCAAAGGAGAGGAAGAGTGTGCCAGGCAAGGGGAGCAACATGAGCCAAGGCATAGAATGTGGGGATCAGCAGTGAAACTGCAAGTAATCCAGTATGGCTAGGGCACGAATCACACAGGGCAAAGCATTGTCTCTAAACATGTTCCTGTATTGTTAAGTAGTGTCTTCATTGGAGTTCCCCAAAAGCAAAGCCTAAGACAAGGATTCAGGTTCTGGTAATCTGTTTGGAAAGCAAGCCCAGGAAACAGAAGTGAAGTGGAGAGAGCTGAAAGAGTTAAAGGAAAAGCTAAGACAATGTATGTTACTGAACTGACTGCTTTAGTAGACAGTTGGGCTTAATCTCACTGGAGGCTATCTGAAGAACCATTTAGAATGTGCTTTAGCTCTGTCCCACTGAAGAACAAGGAGGCTGGGTCATTTACCTCTTAATTTCTATCCCCAGTAGTTGAGGGTTACTTCATCACCAAACCTGAACTCTTCCACATTTCCTGGTTATGCTTGCCCAGGGCTAAGCACCCTTCTAGGGTTTCAGAGAAAGCCCTGAGGCAGAAAAGCAAAGTGACCAGAAAGCTTCTGGGGTGGATACTGGCAACATTCATGGAACCATCCATTCTCCTGCATTGAAAACAGTAATAAGGTATGGGCACCACAAGAATCTTCTAAAGAAAGTTACAGGAAAATAACCCATCTGAAATATCCCACATTTGAGCAGTTTAAAATTCACAAGCTATATCAACACAACTATCAAGGTGAAAATACACAAGCTTCCACAAATCACTCCTAAAGCCTGGTAAAGGCTGTGAGCACTGTAGGAATTTCAGTGTGGGAGGGTTGCTGAGGGATGAAGACAAAGTAGCTTCTTTAGAAATAGGAAGATGGAAAAAAGGAGTTTGGAGACATGAATTCTACTCAAACTCTGACCTTATACCTTTATAATCTTTGGCAAATCTCTTAGTCCATTTCCTTTTCCAACAGACAAGCAAAGACCCTTGTGGTAGCAAAAAGAGTGCTCTAAGTCACAAATGAGGTGATAGGTTAAAATGCATTTGACAAATGTAAATCCAGTCAATAAAGAACCTAGCACATTTTAGAAAATAATTCACTTAAATAAACATCCACTGACTCCTGTTCTGATCCAGGCTCTGTGCAGATGCTGGAAATAAAAGAGGAAAATACAACCGTCTATGGTTTCTAAGAGCTCACAATCCAGAAGGGAAAAGAGATCAGTAATTACAACCCACTGTGATCAGTGTCTGGCAGAGGAAAGCATGGGAGTCCGTGTGAAAGGCACACAACCCAGCTTCTAATAGAGGGGATAGGTAAAGGGATGTTCAGAGAAAACTTCCTAGAGGAGACAGTGTCTGATATGACTCTTCAAGGGCAAGTAGGATTAAGATGGGCAAAGAAAGTGGTAGTATAGGGAGAAAGGGTGGTTAAGGCAACAGAAACAGCATGCGCAGAGCAAAAGAATAGTGTGTCTGAGAAGAAGAGCAAGACAGGAGTGGCTGCATCAACAGGTAAGGAATAGATTCTGGAGAACTCATATATGGGGGACTTGATCCTGTAAGTGAGAAAAACCCACTGCTGAATTGTTAAGCAGTCAGGAGCCTGGTCAACTGCTCTTGCTGTGTAGAAAGTAGATTAGAACCAGGGAAAACAAGGGCTGTGTAGTAAGTAAATAATCTATACGAGTGTATCTAAGACAGAGAAGGTCTCATCAAATGGTAATTAGAAATGTCCACAAACACATTTGTATAGAACTGCACTGCTCAATTTAAATGTTAAGTAAAATTTTTAAATCAGTTTAGTCAGACTTGCCACTTTTCAAGCACTCAATAACCACATGTGACTAGTAGCTACTATATTGGACAGCATATAGAGAGAAAGGGAACATTCCCATCACTGCAGAAAGTTCTGTTGGATGGCATTAATATCTGAAAAAATTAGCATTTAACAGAACCAGGTTCAGTTCTTCTGTGTGTCAGCTCCTATTCAGGAAGAATTGTGGGAGGGAGAGGAGATTTCTTCATTCCTCCTGGAGTCCTTAGAGATTTTCTTCTTGTATGAATAGCACAGCATTGGAAGTGGAATAGAAAACTCCCCACATGGCCTCCTGGGAGTTGGTTTTCCCATGCTACCATTCAGAGTTCACTTGGGAGGTCTGCCTTCCCCTGGGGTCTCCTGTGTTTCTGTCTCCACACACAGCCACCTGCCTACTACAGAACCAGAGCGTCTTCCTTTTACCAAAATATTCCCTATAAGATTCACCCACTCCTTCTATAAATATATTGAAATGATGCCTTCTATATGCCTGGCACTGAGTTAGATGCAGTATGGAATGAAAGAAATATTCAAATTATAGTCATATTTCTCACATACACAAATTCATTTAATTCTCAAAACAATGTTATAAAATTGGTATTAATGTTCAGAAGTAAGGTTGAGATTCAGAGAGTATAAGTGACTTACAAAGTCACACAGAGAATAGCAGATCCAGAGAAGACTGGAATGGTGGTAAGAAATCCACCAATGTTATTTCATGTAATTTCACATCAAAACTCCCATGCCTCTCACATGTTCAAACTAACTGGGGAAAAAAATATTAACTCACACAAATTCAGATTACAATTAATTTCCAAACAATGATAAGAGCAGTGATACAAGCATGCTCAGAAAAGTGTAGGAACATCCAAGATGGGTGCCCTTGGTGGGCATTAGGGAAGGCTTTCTGGAGAAAATGACCCTTCAGTTGAGTATTAAGGGTGAGGGAGGTCACACAGATAAGGTATAGTGTGGGGACAAGGAGTTGAAAATACTTTTTAACCCAACTTGTCATTTGTATTTCTATTTGCTTATTGATGCTTGGCCTTATATAAGTGTAATGGCTTTTCTTCTTTGACTTCTAAGTTTTGTTTGAAAAACAGCTGCACTATGCCAAGATTATGAAATAATTATTTGAGGATTTCTTCTTAACTGGGATAAAATACTTAAATATTAAAGCATGATTGTACCCAACAGAAAGGAAGATATTCTGATGTTGAAAGGAAGAGAAAAATCAAAAGTGTCAAGTAATTTGTCTTTGTAGTTTCCTCTGACCAGAATGCTCTTTTTTCAGATATCTTCAGGACTGACTCTTACTTCATTCAGATCTCATCTCAAACGTTACATATTTGGAGAAGTCTTTCCTGATAATTCTATTTAAAATGTACTTCTTAGATATTTCATAGTTTTTATAGTTTTGTGAATGGTATCTTAGTTTCTATAATTTTTTTTCTATTTGCTTTGCTCATATAGATAAATGCTACTGATTTTGTAAGTTAATATTATGATTATAAAATTCCATGAACTTTCTTATTATATCTAATAGTTTATTGATTATTTCAGGTTTTTTTTCACTGTAAGAAATATGAACAGAAAAATGGCAGTTGTCTCTTCTCTTCCCATCCTTTTAATGTATTTCTTTTTCCTGTCTTATTGCTTTAGCCAGAGCCTCTACTATTGCATTAAAAAGTAGTTTATATTTGGGATTCTTTCTTTTTCTGATATTAAAATAACTGCATCTAAAGTTTTTCCATTAAATGTATATTTTTATATGAAATCTTTGACAAACTGAGGAAGCTTTAAAAGAGTTTTGAAATTACAAATGATAATAATTTTTAAATCAAAAGCTTTGTTTGCATCTACTAAGATAATCATGTGTTTATTGTCTAATATAGTAAAACAAATTGATAGATTTTCTACTGCCAAAACACCTTTGCATTTCTGGGATAAATACTATTTGATCATAGTTTATTTTCTTAATGCATTGTTGGATTCGGTAAGCTATTTCATTTTAAACATTTGTATCTATGTTAGAAAATAAAATGATCCATATGAGCCTAGGAAATTTTGAGAAGAACATTTTTTTATTATT